TTCACTGCTGTATTAAAGTGTAGGACAATCCTTACATGGAGGCCCTATAAAAGAGGGCACAGCAGCCACAGTGATGCTACATTTGAACCAATATGCAAGTCAAAAGTAACCTGTGTGGCTTACAGTGTTTTAGGCTATGCCGGTAGCTAGTCAACTGTAGGGAAAGAAAGGTAAAAGAAAAAGAAGTCTGAGAAACGACTGGACTGAGGTGATAAAAACACAAGAATCCAGCGATTTTTCTAATCTCTATTGGCCATAAGCTCCATGGTTTTGTCTAATCTCTCTTTATAGCTATTCTTACTTTTGTTCTTCCCAACATTTGCAGTCAGAGGCCAGTTCTGTCATTTGCTTACAAGTACGATCTTTTTATGTCTATTTATTTTAATTTTGCTTTCCGATTATTTTTTTCAGCAGGCCCATATATTTACATTGTGAGAAATAGCTGTTTCCTGTTTAGTTTCTCCGTGATTATCATAGAGCTCTCTTAAATTAATCAGATTAATCAGACCCTTTCTTTAGTTTCAAGGGTCTCATCTGTCTACTTAATTTCTCCTCACATATTAAAGTATATTTTATGTTAAAACTCCCTTGCTGCCATTTGCTTCATATCCTTCTTCAGATAGGCTACCTGTGATGTTCAAAATGTAGACTCAGAATGAAAGTTTACAGGGGCATAACAAGCTTTTCTAATTCCTTCTGCATTCCTTTCTCATTAATTGTTAACTCTCTTTTTTGTTTGTTTGGGTTTAGTTTTGGTTTTAACGGTACAGAACATTGATCTAAGGCTTCCCATGAACTGACCCAAATAAATTACGTTTCCAAGATGTGACAATTTAATGGTTTGTTTAGATTTTCTTCTACACTGCACTCTGCACTCATCAACATTACCTTCACCTGCTGTATTATCAGTCATTAGTCTTCTGAGTTATTCTGCAAATCTCAAGTAAGTTGAGTGGGATAAATCCACAAGTTCGCTGAAAATGGATCACCCACTTTCCTGCCTTTCATGAATTATAATCCTAACACTGACCTTTCCCTCTTATTCTACTCATCTAGTCTAGTGTCTTTTATTCATACACTTGGCTACACCTAAGCAAACATAACTATTTATGATGGTTTAAAATGAGGGAGCCAAGGCATCAGAAGCAGCCTATGCACAGAGCAAGGAATCAACAAATTGCCCTGTTACTAAGGTAGCTTTTACTGTCTCTATTTAGCTGCTTATTACTGTAGCCAGAACCAACACAATGTGGCTGAGCCAATCTAGCTGCTCAAGGCTGCTCAGACAAGACATCTTCCTCCCACATTTCTCTGCCCACATTCTTGGCCACATGATCCTGTTTCTCTCCTCACATACCAGCCTTGCCAATTGTCTGATACCTCAATAAGCCAGTTTAACTATCTGGCTCACAAATAGCTGTCTATTCACTTTCGTGTTTCAAGTCGGTTTTCCATCCATTTCAAAAGTTGAATGGTGTGAGCACAAAGCCTATTGACAACCAGACTTGGCACAAGGAAAGGGTCAGGAGTCTTTGGCTGGTGAGAGGAGTAAGACCTCCCAAATTTTAAGGACAGCAAGCTATTAGATTAGATGAAGTCATTTCTTGTAAACCCACTCTTAGAATAGGTTAAGCTGCCAAGCTACCGTTACACTCAGCCAAAGGAGGCCTCGCTCACCCCGTCTACTTCCAAGTTCTCTTTTGCTTCCTCCCTTCTTTCTCTTAGTTCTCCTCCTTTGATTCAACTTTGGAAATCACATTGTCTGACTGAGCTTCTCTGATCCAGAGGTAAGCCAGCTCATCTCAGCAATCAGTCAAAATAGAAGGAACAAACTTTTTTTGCTGCTTTGGAATTTGAATAAGTTTTGTCAGCTTACAAAGAGATCAGATGAGATCCCAGAGACTGTTTAAGATAAGCACTGAAACTAAGTGGTGGGTAAGAGAGATAAGAAAGGGAAGGAGGGAACAGTAGCACACCTAGCACACCCCCTCTTTGCTGCATTTAAAAGTTAATGTGAAACTATATCCATAGACTGATATTGTTAAAACTGTGTTACAAACCACGGTTAAAGCTGGGTTTTAAAGCATTGCTATGCTGCAGTATTTTTACCAAAGAGAGGAGTAAAACACTCAACGTGAGATGCTTTGGAAGATGGCAAATGGAACATTGCAATTTATTAACCTTAGGCTTTCTGATCAAGCACCCAATATTGGCATCCATATTTATTGTTCAGTAAGCTGGTGGCAGGTGACACTCTGGTGTTTATAGTTCCCCTTCCTTCTCCTTTAAATATCGAAGTGAATCGTTGACATGTCTTTCTGAGGAAAGACCAGCTCCATACATATGCAGAATATTTTCAAAACATGAGTTCTGCAAACCAAACTATCTGCCATTGACTCATTTCTTCTCCTAGAGGGAAGGTACTGCGACAGAGAACTATTTGGCTGGGCTTCACAATCTGTAAGTGAAATATATGATTTTACCAGCCGTACAACTTTTAGATTTTTGCATAAAGAAAGAATGATTAGAAGGTGATCATACTCAAGACTTGAGTGGTGGTTGCTTTTTATGTCCCTGTGGCATGCTGGGAAGTGCCAGGGCCCTGGTCTGGAATGTTGGCTCAAAATTCCTGGAAGATCAGAGCTGGAGTTTAAAGAAAACTAAGGACATGTACATACAGATACAGATAGTTTGAGGCACTTTGGAAGTTTAAGGACAAGGTAACTGAACTGTTGTGTCAACACTGCCTACAAAATTAACTTGTCCCTCTGCAAAGTTTTGCTACAATTTCCACTCTATTCACAGGCTAGTTTATGTGCTGGAGAATGGAAAGTCAAGTCCCTTCTGTTACTGAGAGAAATATTCATGTATTTTTATGGGTTTGAGTACACTTTTCTGTAAATTCAGATTAATTGAACATCGGGTGAAACAGCATGTCTTCCCTTCTTTCTGGTATGCTAAATATCCTTTGGTTTTGTTTTTAGTAAAGCACAACGTTTGCCATTCTTAAGATTCTCACCTTTATTACTCTGTAAGACTTTATCATACGCTCATGTACTTTCTTCCTGGTTTTGACTAGCCTAATTGTAAAAGTGCATAGACTGAAAGCCTTCTTCCTCAGCTGTGGGGGAAACATCTGCTTATTATGCTGGAGTCTTTTCTACAATTATTTGCATAGCTACATGAATTTAACAAACATTTTGATTTACTTGTGTAGAGGGACCCAGTTCCCACATTACATATATTTAGTTGAACATCAATTTGAATTCGCTAGAGGAAGAGGTACAATTTACATAGTATTTTAATTTTTAAATAAATTAAAATTGTGAGATGACTATTCAGAAGTAATAAAACCAGCTACAAATATCAGTAAGTTCCCATTTATTTTCCTAATGATGAGAAAAGTGAATATTATTTTATGGATAAAGCTCTTTCATTTTAACTTTGCCAAAATAAATAATTATTTGAATGTTAATTATTCGAATGTTATTTATTCTCTAGGAAGTTTTACAGTGATTTGATTTTTACACCAAATATAACTTGAATATCTCTTAGGTACCCAAAATTTTTTCTGGTCCTTTAGATATAAGAATATCTCCTCTTGGTAACATATATAACCTAATTCAAAGCAAAGGAAAGGCTTTTATAGACTTAATGTGTGCTTATAATCATAATGCCCAAATCAGACTACTTAAATCTACCCTGGCAGCAGGACAAGAAATCTGACAGTTATTTCATTTCAACTTCCCTATTTTTTTGCATTATTTGAATGATTACACAAACAAGGCTTTTAAGAGGCTCCGGTCCTTCTCTTTGTAGTTACAGCTCAGAGAATTTAGAGGCGTGGGATTAAACTGAAAATATGTCGGGTATTCCTAGAGCTTCCAGTAATAGGTAACCCATGGAATGGACCTTCCCTTTGTTTCCTTCAGGCTGCTGTGACTATCTTGAATAAGGGAGGAAAGGCGAAATTTAGAAGAAGAAAAAGCCTTTTTTTCAGATAAGCCCTTACTGTGGTAGTCTCCTATTTAATCATCACCCTTGGTTAATAAAACAATTCCCTATTGTGCTGCACCTTTGGGCAACCACATAAAGAATTTGCCCTGTGAGGGAAAAAAAAAAAGAATTATTTGTGTCTAATATGTACCTGTTAAATTAGCTGCAGAGAGGACTAGTAGAGGGCTACTATGGACTAGGGTTGTGCAGGGGACTTTCCACCTGCCCTGGAACCTTCACACACCAGCATCAGCCTTTGGGGAGCAATGGGTCCTTTTTCCCTTGCTCAGCTCCATATTGGAGGAGGGGGAAAAGAATAAATCCTTCTGAAGCTTTCTTTACTCCAAATCTCTTGTTCCCAGTGGGTTCCAGTTAACAGGAACCTAGAGTATGTTCACTTCTCTTCTGGCGAAGACAATTTAAAATGATAACAAAAAAGGTCCTAGAACAGTGTAGCAGGAACCCAGCCTTTCATGTTACTGCCTCTGCTAGGCCACACTTTAAACTTTTTCGAAGGTGGATTTAGTCTGCAAAGGCTTTCATGCAAATGGCTCATTTACTTAAAAATCCACAGAGAGCAGAGGGGCCACAGAGCTCTTTTTCCCTTCATCTTCCCCTTACTCGTCCAACACCTTGTAAAGAAGTACCAAGGTAGTGAAAAGGCAGGTTATTATGCACTGGGAACTGGTGTGGCAACTGTTGCTTCCCCTTCATTAACGCGTGTGTTTAAGCTGAACGACTTGACCTGAAGTGGCTGGAGCCTCCCAGGGAAAGTTGTCAGTGCTTTTGTATGTGTGTGTCTTTACAGAGTTCCACACCGCAGCAAAACCCCTTCTTTCCAATTTGCCGCCTACTGCCCTGAGGGTGACAAGGCTGAAAGTTTATCAAGTTCTGTGCATAACTTCACATCACAGGAGCAAGTGCGTATTCTCCCCCTCCCCTTTCTTTTTCCTGCTCCTAAACACCTCCTTCAAGTTCGCAGCTGGGCAGGACTCCAAAGGTGCAGCAGCAGCAACAAGCTGGAGTTCAAAGTTAGCAGTAAATTGCACAACTTCCAGCTCATCGCTACGCTCGGTGACTATTAACAAGCTGGAAGGCGCTCAGGGAAAAAAATAGGGGAGAAGGGAACACCCTCGAATTGTTTGGGGATCGTTGATGTTATGCCGCTGGGATCATGGCTCCTTTTGGAAGGAATTTATTAAAAACCCGGCATAAAACCAGGTAAAATGCGTGGGTATGTGGAGGAAAAGGGAGGGCGATATAGGATAATTTTTTTATACTTTTTGTTTGGATCTGGGGCCAGGATGTGTTATCCGGGCCATGCCGCTCCCAGCAGCTGGAACTCCAGGGCTCAGGAGCGAACCGGAGACGGCCGGGGGGAGCGGAGCGGAGGGGGCTGGCGTGTGCAGGGGCAAGGGGCTCTTCCCTTCCCCCCTCCCCCGGACCTGTCATTCCCCTCTTAGCTCTGGCTCTTTTGGTTACTGGTCAATATTTTCCATGAGCGGAAAGTAGCTCTTCCGGACTTCGAACCTGCCTCGTCTAAACCGAGGCGAACATTGGCGGCCCCCCGTGCTAACAAGGTGAGGCTCACCGGGTCCGGGAGGACAGGCTGCAACCCCGACGTGCGCGTCCCGGAGGTGGCCGGGGGGGAACCTGGAGCCTTTCAGCCGCCCCGGGACAAAACTCCCTGAGTTTCTCACGGGAGGGCCGAGCTCCGGGCCCGTCGCCTCCCGCCTTAGCCACGTTCCCCTGGGAGGTAGAGCGGCAGCCCGCAACCCCTTCGTATCAACCCCCGTCCCTTATCCTGTCCGCTGGCTGTAAGCCTGGGAGGTAGGAGAGCATCGAGCTGTCAGCCCGGGGAGGGAGCATGCTTTTTTTGTTTAGCCTTTAGTCCGGGATGGACTCGTACTGCATGTGTTTTTTTGCCTAGAAAATTCTTCAGGTGGACAGCTGCGGTCCCTGGGTCGGCTGCCGCCAAGTTTCTTTATGGGGACTTTGCCCCTAACGCTGTGCATGCTTCCACATGCCCCGCACACCGGCTGTGAAAAGGAGAAAAAGGGTTATGTAATCATGTTAGGTGCTAGGATGGTACTAGATTATTTGAGATAAATATTCTTGGAGTGGAGTAAATCTGCTTGGACTCTATAGGATGTACAGTTGCCGAGCCCATCTAGCTAAAGCTGAACAGAAACAGATTGCCTCAAAAATCATTTGTAATCTTGATCCCATTTTGACTGGTGCTTTTCGCTGAAATTTGTATTTAAAGGAATGCAAGGGAAAATCTCTTTCAGGGGGAATATAATTGAATTCTTAAAAAGTCTTGTAAAAATGTCCCTTTCCTGGGTTTGGCTTTTGATTTTCACATTTGATATACTGAAAATTATTCGAGGGGGATTGTATTTGTTGGGATTGTGTGAAAAGATTAACTTAACATAGTACATGGAACATAAATCAGATTCTAGCAGTCAATGTTTAAAAAATTGGATACTATTTTAGAATTATTAATATTGTAGGTTACAGATTAAACAACATGTTTTGCTAATGGGTCTGAAAACAGTAAAACTTTGATGTATTTCTCATGTAGCCATTTTTTGTTTAGAAGGGCTGGAAAGGTGGACATGAATTTCTTATGAAATTGCTTTTACATAGAGCTGTAAATTTTTTACTCTTAAAATATAAATTTTGCTACTACCATCACTTATCTGAATAAGCATTACGTCACAAAGCACAGTTCCATTGTGTTTAACCGTGAAACTGTTTCTCTTTTGGATATTTATAATATCTTCACACTAATTTCATCAATCTCACTATGTTTGCTGATGTGATATTTTGTTCCTCGGGAAAAGAAATTCAGAATCCAAAGCTTTAAACAGGCAATAGAAATTCAAATACCAAAAGAATCATTACTATGAACATCTAGCATTTTCTTCTCACTTCATCCTTCCACCTCCAAAAAGAAATTAATGCTTTTAATGGCAGAGAGTAGTTATGGCAATAAGAAGGGGCTGTATGACCACAGAAATGTGGGGGGAGGAGGTCAAGAACAAAGCAAACTACATAATTCTTAAGATGTGTTGCTATTATCTGTTCAGATATTTAAATTTCTGCATATTTAATGTTAGTTTTGATATTGAATTTTGAGAATTTAACTTTGCTTATGCATTTAGTAAAACGGTTTTGCAGTATAAGTGAAGAGATACATAATAATTCTTTTTCATTATATTTGTATCTTGCTGAACTCGTCTGAAACCTTGAAAAGAAGTGAGCTTAAAATCCTTCACTATGTTTAGGGCAGTAGTTGGAGAGTTGGAACTTGTGGCTCATTACCTTTTATTAGTTTAATTACCCTTAAAGAGAGACGAAAAAAGTAGATCTTTAATCTACTGCTGCTTTTTTCATTAGATCTAGCGCTCATCCACCTTTCTGAGAAACTTACGTTTTTTTTCCTTTTTCTCTGGAATGTTTTAATGAGCATTCACTACATGCAAATATAACTCCTGAAAGTTATAAGATAAGCAAATGGGGAGTAAAATCTATGTTTACATGAGGACACAAAGCTAAGTTGAGGCAATAAAGGTAAGTAGAAGAAATGCCAGAAGGAAAATGAAGGCGTTACAGTCATTTGCTCAGATAACAAGATGACACCACCGTAATTAGTGCTTGACTTGCAGCATTGCCCAGAGGTCCCAGATCAGGGCCCTGTTTCATAGTAGGCTTTTCATATACAGATCATAATTGTCAGTCCCTACCCCTAAGACCCCAGAGTTTAAACAAAGAGTTTACTCTGATTCTGTGTCTATGAGGTATTCTAGCAAGAGGTGAGGGATGTTGCCTATGATGTCACCAGCCTTTAGAGAAAGAAACTGAGATTAACCATCAGGAAGACAAAACCCATGCTGAACTACTACCAGTATTTGAAAGATCTTCAGTCAGTATTACTCTCTTGGGCTGCTGAAATCTCACTCGTGCAAAGACAGCACAAGGCCTAGGTGGCTACTCACGGTAAGCCCTGGTTTGATTTCAGGGGAACAGCTGCTAGCAGTGTGGCTCCAACATATACTTCTTGGCCAGAAAGACAGTGAGTGATGTCTTGACATCTTTTTCAACAACTATAAGTAGCATATTCCCCAGAGTGTGTTTGTGCTTGTCAGTGTGTCCCCAGGAGAACTATACTTCCAAGATGCCCCACCCACCTACAAACCGAAATGTTTGCAGCGGGACAGGCTGTACTCTCTAAGGCAACAATGGAAAAAAGGAGTTTCCTGCAGGACTAAGGCTCTGTAACATGAGTAAACTCAAGGGGATTTATTTTTATGCAAATCTCTTAAAGATGCCATTCTTTGAGAGTGAGAGGAATACTCAGCTGACATCACACTTCATAAGTGTGGTGATGGCAGGAAATGCTTAGCAGAAGGTGGAGGAAGAGAAAAGGCACTGAGTTCTTTGCGCTATAACACATTGCTCTGCATGGAGCAAAAGAGCTCCCTATCCAAATATGTGAAACAAATACAGAGCATATATACTTGCGGTGTCTATGTACTGGGGTTTCACACTGTATAGGATTTCCTAGTTGCTAAGCAGTACAGGAATTTATGCCACATTGATTTTCTGTAAGATTAGAACTTCTCTGCCCTTGAGTGCTAGATTTGATCCCTTTTGAAAAGGGGTCTTTAGGTTCATTTAAATACTTCAAGGATATCTGGATCTATCTCACACCAAGAAAGCTGACCTCAGTGTTATTTCTTTCATGAAGACTACTTCCTTGGGTTTTACACATAAACTGTAGTCAAACTTGTTGAAGCTCTACTGTTCTGTGCGTGTTGTAGCCAGAGAAGTAGCACACTGAGAAGCAGAAGATACAGATAATCTATCTTCTTCACACAGTTGTCCTTGATGCTGTAGGGTTGTCCTGTTAGGCACAACCCACTGAGAAATATTTTTTGCCAGTGTACTTCATGTTGGCCCTGTGTTTACCACAACTGTTTGTATGCTCTGTTGACATACAACAATTCTGAATCCAATATACATTTTTTGTGATGAAACAGTTGTGTTTCAAATCTATTAATATTTAAATTTATTTATTAGTTTTCCTTTTCCTTCCTGATTTTCCCCCCCACATTTTATTATTTACTGTTTTCCAGCATTTTCCACTTTTGCTCAGTGCAGTGGCAGTTAGCGCAGTATTTATCTATAGGAGGCAAAGGCTTAGTTTGTCTACTCTTATTTCTTCCTTTCTTTAAACAGCTCATCTCTAGTTCAGAGATAGAAAAAAAGACCATATATGTCCATTCAATCTTATAGATATAGAGGGAGTTCTTTCAGTTCTGACAGTCAGACACCCCTCCCCAGTGAGAGACACATTCAATGATTCTCTCAGTTTTTATATTACCGTGCAGGATAGTGAATTAGATTAGCAACCTCATCTCTCTGATACTGACCTAGCATTTCCATGATCCCTCCCTTCCTCCCTCCCTCCAGTAGTTTCTCATCACATCTAGTTAGCACAGTGATTTGAGTATTACTCTGAACATCTCTACTGCTCTACGGTTGAGTACGCTGCTGTACATTTTAAACCTTGATGAAGTAAAACTGAAAATGCTCAACATTGATGTTTGGATTGGTAAAGCTCTTGGAGATCAACTGCTTGTCTGAATGAACTGTGCATGACCCACACTGTAAGTCTCATGGGATCATGTGAGATGTCTAATACTTCTTCTCTTGGATGAGCACACCCGGATAAAAATCTATATGAAGCTCTAAAGGTGCTTTTTGATACAAGACTACCAGGTATTTGGTATGTATGTTGGGGGGGGTAGGTAAAAACTTATTTAGAGTCAGTGGTGTTATCTGTGTTAAATTTTTAATTCAAAAAGATGGTGCTTGTTTGGTAATGGCAGAATACATTCTTCTCCATATTTTTTATTTTTCCTTGAGTATGAGACATATTAGTGAACTATCAAAGAAATTTTTCCTTTTTGAGCCAGACTTCATGCACCAAAATTTATTTTCTGGTCTGGCTTTTCAGCTTTGTCACAGGGGTCAAAATGGTTGCATACATTTTCTAATAATCTTTGTACATATTTGTTCACTTCAGCTTCAGGAAGAGCTTTTCATCTAGCAAAACACTAACTTTATTTCTAAAGAGTTAATTATCTACTATTCCAGGAGGGCAGGCAGCAATTTCATTCCAAAGGAGTAAATAAAATGAGTAATAGAAGTGT